CTTCATCACAGGCCGAGATCCCACTTTTGCCTGGATCTTTCGTTTCTGGCCGTTGAATTGTATTTTTCTCTTTTTTAATTTTTGAATTTTAATTTCACTCTTTTTGACTTTTTATTATTTTAATTAAATTTACTTTTGTTGTTCGTCTTTTGCTTCTTGCAAGGAAAATCAGCGATCCCTCGTTTCTGGCCGTTGAATTGTCATTTTTTTTTCCCCCCTTTTTTTCTTGCTTTTTTATTATTTTAATTCAATTTTCTTTCTTTATTATTAGTCGTTTGTTTCTGGTCGTTTCGTCCAGTCGATCGACGGTCCGAATCAGCGATCCCTCGTTTCTGGCCGTTGAATTGTCATTTTTTTTNCGATCCCTCGTTTCTGGCCGTTGAATTGTCATTTTTTTTAATTTTTTTTTTTTTTTTTTGCTTTTTTATTATTTTAATGAAAAGTTCTTTCTTTATTATTAGTCGTTTGTTTCTGGTGGTTTCGTCCAGTCGATCGACGGTACGAAATAGATCCCATCGCGGACCTTCGATTGAAAAAGGTAAAGAAATTGGGAAAAGACAAAAAAAGTAAAAAAAAGTAAAAAAAAGAAAAGTCCAAAAAAGTTGAAAAAAAAAAGAACTCCAAAAAAAATGGGAAAAATAAAATAAAATAGACGCTGGGTCATTGTCCCCCTTGTCCCGAGGTCAAGTCCCACTCGCGCAGCGTTACGTTTCCTCAACGCCCCAATCCAATCTAAACGTGTTTGTGGAGATGTGCAGAAAAAATAATTCTGCACATCTCCACAAACATGTCCAGATTCGGGCGTTGGGGAAACGTCCAGATTCCGGCGTTGAGGAAACTCAACGCTCAACGCTGCTAGTGGGACTTGTGTGGAAACTCAATAATTCTGCACCTTTCCCCAAACACGTCCAGATTCCGGGTGATAACAGATACTCGCCGTACCAATCAATGCGCCATCATGAGACCACCAAGCCAATAGACAGACCTTGGAATGGGGCCGAAGAAAAGAAGAGGAAGGGGAAAGGGAAGGAAGAAAAAGGAGAAGAAGAAGAAGAAGAAGAAGAAGAAGAAGAAGAAGAAGAAGAATGATGACAAGCAATGGCCAATTGCTTCTGCACACGCTCACTGAGAATCAGCAATTGGCCATTGGTTGTCATCATTCTTCTTCTTCTTCTTCTTCTTCTTCTTCTTCTTCTCCTTTTTCTTCCTTCCCTTTTTCTTCATACGTGTTACATGCTCAAACGCGCACGTTTCTTTTTTTCTTTTTCTTTTTTTTTTTCCCTCCTCTACATGTTTCAACCGGCTGCGGACCGGTCTCATGAGGAGGCGATCCGCGATAGCAGGCCTTTCGGCTCCCACCTGCACTATACCACCCATGAGAAGAAGAAGAAGAGAAGAGAAAAGAAGGGAAAGAAAGGGGAAGAAAACTGGGCCTCCGGGGCAAGTTCCCACTTAGCTGTGTTTTTTTTTTTTTTTCCTTAGTTTTTGAATGACCGTAGATCACGCAAATCGACCGTCAAAAAAGAAAAAAAAGAAAAAAAAATCAAACGTCAAAAACTGAGAGAGAATCGAGTGGCTTGAAAGAAAAAAAATAATTAAAAAAATGGGGCCGTGGCCCAGTAGAATCTCTCTCTCGTTGTTGTTTTTTTCGTTGTTTTTTTCTTTTTTTTTTTGTTGAAATGGGATAGTTTCGTGGAAGGGCCGTTTTTTATTTTTTAATTTTTTTCACTTTTTCCTTTACTTTTAAACTCGTTCGATTCTGTCGGGACTCGAACTCCTTTCGGAACAAAAAAAAAAAAAAAAAAAAAAGTGTTGCAATATCGATGACCCCATCTTTTTTTTTTTTTTTTTTTTTTTTTTTTTTTTTTTCTTTTTTAAGGATGACCCCATCTTGATCGTTTTTCTTTTTTTTCCAGAAAAGAAAAAAGTATATCGTAAAGTCAACTGTTGATGAATCAGATGAAGACAATTTAATAATTTAGTAAAAATAAAAACAAAAAAACAAAAAAACAACCCACGTTTTTTTTTTCTAGTCAAATTTTCATCTGAAAAGTACGACAATACTCAAATAATTTAGTACAAATAAAAACAAAAAAACAACCCACGTTTTTTGTCTTTTCTTTCCCTTAATTTAAATGAAGCTTATATGATTTATATCTCAGTCGTGCAACCCACTTCTTCTTCTTTTTTTTTCCCTTCTTAATTTGGACCGTTTCTCGATTCATATGTGCCATCCTTGCGTAGGGGCCATTTTTTTTTTTTTCCCCCTTCTCCTTCTGTACCGTTCCATTTTATTTTTATTTATGTATTTATTTATTTTTCCAATTTATTTTTGTTTTCCCCGGGTACCCTTCCTTTTTTTTTTCTTTTTTTTGAGGGGGGGAGGGGATGTAGCAATGTGCAAATCTGAAAAAAAAAAAAGCGAAAAAAAAAAAGCTAATGAACGAATCATGAGATCAGATGGGTACCATAATGTTAGGGGCCCCATTCTTTGATAGGAAGCAAAAAAAAAAAGAGAAGAAAAAAGGGAGGACTTCCTTTGACGTATCTGACGACAACAACGGCCAGACTCAGCCCAAAAAGAAAACAGGTCGTAGAGTAGTGGGAGTGTTAGGGACTACGTTCTTTGAGCGTTAGAAAGAAAAAAAATGTGCAGGACTTTCTTTGACGTACCTGACCACACCCGTAGGTCAGATTCAGCCAAAGAAAAACAAAAGTCATAGGGAAAGAGTATACGGCTGTTGTAGCTCGAGCGATTTGTTCGATCCTCAAAGATTTGATCGAGGTTTGACGTACCTGATCACACCCGTAGGTCAGATTCAGCCAAAGAAAAAAGAAAGTCATAGGGGAGGAGTGTATGGCTATTGTAGCTCGAGCGGTTTTTGATCGATCCTCAAAGATTTGATCGAGGTCCTCGTTTCACTACCCCCCGCCAAATGATGGGGAAATCGTTCGTGAGTGTGTATCTTGTGCGAGAACGTGGCCTGATACATTCGGTATTATCCCCAAATTAGCGAGTGGTGGAAGGAGGCGGCTCCTCTCTTGAGAGCCGTACCAGCAGCGCTAATTATTGGGAGCGGGGTCGGGATCGGGTTCATGATCGGGGTGCGTTGTGTTCGAGGAAGACGGACAGTCTTAAACATTGCCAACTAATTAACGAAAACATTATTAACTAATTAGTAATTAACGAATTCGAGGAAGACGGGCAGTCTTGAACTAATTAACGAATTCGAGGACTACGGGGAGCTTCATTGTTATTCTTTGGTTATTGAAAACCGATTCGAGATTCTTTCTTTGCATATTTGCGCCGTGGCTATCACGGTTATGCATCATGTGTGGACTATCTTTGTCTGCAGTTTTTCTCATTGAAGCAATTAGGCTTTGGCTGGATTCTTCATCTCTGGCGTCTGGTCTTCAATATCTTTTTTTTTTTTTTTTTTTTTTTCCAAAAATTTTACGGCCGGCCGCATCCAAAAAAATCTAAATAATTTGGTAAATATTAATATAAAAGAAAAAGAAGAAAAAGAAAGGAGAAAATAAAAGAAAAATGCAGGGTCCAGGTTAGTCGGG